CCTTGAAGAATTAGGGTTGATTTGAATTAATCTTGACAGAATATTTCAATTTTTTTTTAAATTATTTCTTGTTGTTCTACCGTTTGAAATTTGTCGTTTAAATTCTATATTTATTTGTGTTGAGTTTTTATGATTTTTTTTTTAAAACTCCTTTTTTTTTTTTTCAATATGAAAATTCAGACGGTTTATTACATTAAAAAAAATTGTCTTCATCAAAATTATGTAGTTGAATACCTATCTATCTTTTTGAATTGATTCACTATATATTCCACATTGAAAAAATATTAAAATATAAATTAACATATACAAATTTTGATTACCCTTCTAAACAAGATTTATCTTTTAAGATAGAATTGTAAGTCTAAATATGATATCGAAACCCATTAAATGATCAATTTGATACACAAATTCTAAGACTGAGGTTCTCAATTGAATCCTTTTATGATGAATAATGCTATTAATAGTTAGCCACTACAACAGTTATTTTATGCAGCAGTTTGTTATTTGAGGTGTTTACTTTTTATAATTATGTTACCTTAAATAATAAATTAATGTCTTAAATAACAAGCTGTCACCAAAGGGGGACCCAAACATTTTTTATTATGCGCTCTAGCCTCAAAGGGAGATAGGCTTCAATAATTGGTGCTCGAACATTTTCTTCTAGCTTTACATGACACTCCAATGACGTTTATAATAGAGTAATACAGATTATATACTTAACATACTTTTAACACTAGGCAACACAAAGCCTCAATTATAACTCGACAATTACAACACAAGCCACGATGATGAGGTAGGGGTGGGTACCCTTTTTATATCTAGCAATCATACTTTTGTTTCCTTGCAGTACCAAGAATCAATTATACTATCCCTGTGTGAGAGAGAGACTAATAATTACCTTAATCATTTGAACTGTTAAAATTAAAATGAAGGGAAGATTCTTCTGTTTCTTGTTTTGTTTTTGCATATGATAAGTTTGGTTTGTGTACTAAGCAGGCCATTTTTTTTTACTACTAATGATGGTCATGCTATCATTAACCAGGGTGCTATTGTTCTATTTTATCTT